CAGGTGGTCCTCCACATTTTGTAATATGCCCTATTAACCCTCTTCTGAGGAACAGCATCTCATGCAGATCTCGAACTTCACTCATGAAAGGCTTCAAGACAGATCCCTCTGACAGGGGGGAAAAAAAAAAAAAGCCATCCTTCCTGAAAAAAAAAAATCAATCCAAGTTCTGGGTCTTTAGATGCTTTTTCTTCATTTGTGATAGCCTTTAAGAATTCCAGTAGGAGGAGGACAACTCCATTACACTAAACATAAAAATTGGTAACAAAAACATTGCTTCTGGAAAGTACCCAGTTCATACTCTCATGTACTTTCTACTTTGAAGCTCTATTTATGAGAGGTGTTGTGGTGAACTCATTCATTTTTATTGTGGCAGGTAAGGATGGTCTAGTGGCTAGAGGAACACTTTGGCGTTTGAAAGTCCTGGCTTCTGTTTTATGCAGGTTGGTTTGTGACTCAGGCAACCCCTTCTAGCCTGTCCTCTTCATGCAAGGGTATTGAGGACAAATACACAGGAGACTGGGATTGCTCAGACACTGCAGTAATGGAGAGTAAATAGGTAAGCAATATGTTTTAGATTTGAGGGGGAAGAGCAAAAACTTCTTAGCCCAGCAATAAATGTTTCACCATCTAAGTTTAGATCTGTATTATGAATGCAAATGTTGGATTTCAGGGATTGGTAGGGTATCAGTTTCTCATGAAGAAACCCATGGAGCTTTAAAATTTGGATTTGTGTAGTATTGGCTTTCACTCATTTATTTTTAGTGTAATATACATAAGAAGCAAGGTCAGCGTTAGTACAGTCTCCTGTTAAGTTCTACTTTTCTGGTGTCTTTACTACACAGTAGCAAAGCACTTTGCAGAGAGGTGAGGGTAAAGAAAAGGATAGCTTAATTGTAACCTAGGGCAATTCAGAAACCGTTTAATATGTAAGACGTGCATACCAAAGAGAGGCTTGTGCATTAGAAAATACACCCACACTTTACAGGTTTGAACTGAGCTTTCTTGTGTGTGCTTTGGTAGTCAGGAGTGTCAAGACCTTTTTCTTCTAATTACCTTTTGATTGTTTTGAAGAACACAAATGTAACATGAAATACTGTAATCAGAATAAAACCATCTAGAAAAATATTAGCTGAACTAGTATGATGAATGCCAAGGGAATGAATTCTGCAGCTGGAATATTAAGTGTGTAAGGCCATAAATCAGAACGTATCACTTGACACAGCATGTTGGAATGGCTCATAAATGAGCACTGGGAATAAAAATCAAATTGTGTTGTTAATAATTAATTTTTTTGTCTAAAATTACCTCATTACCCCTCCCCAATCCAGTAAATCACTGAAATGGTTTACCTCTTCAGAAGGATATCAGTGCGTTTACGTATCCTGGAGAAAGGGAGGCTCAGCAAGAGAGAAGCAGCCTGGAAGATCCAGCAGCACTGCCCTGCACGCTGACTTTAAACACAAAAACCTCCCAGTTGGCCACCAGCTCAGCAGCAGCAATGCTGCCTTTCGTTGTTTTGGCCTTGTCCCAGCACTTTGGCTTACTGGAAGCAGCGCTGTGTGGTGGCTGGGGCTGAGAAAGCAGTGTGCTCACACTAGTGGTATGCATCTGTGTTGGTGCTAGCATCGGGGAGGAGGCTGTGTTCCTGCCTCATTTTCTTCCTTTCTTTACCCATGGTGGATTGTCTTCTTTGTGTATCTTGCCTCATGTTGTCTGCTCTTGTTTGAAACTGTTCCTGGATTCATGGCTTCTTTTGGGAGATGTTGCTGCTGCCAAATAAACTTGATTTCTAGATGTTCTAACTACACTTCCCTTTTCCTTGTTTTGGGATGTTAGTGCTGATCAGAATGCTCTTCTTTAGTAATACGAATAATATTTTTTGTCAGTCCTTCCCTCAAAGAAATCTGTTGGTCTGTTGGATTCCACGTTGCTTTCTTGTAGTTGATGCCTGGCCAAGATGTAGGTAGCTGTTTTTCTGGTTTTTGTTTGTATGTTTTTTGGTTTTGGTGTTTTGGGGTTTTTTTTATGATCTTTGTTTTCCTTTGTAGTACTCCTGGTTGCTTTCTCAGGCCCCTCCCTCCCATGTGTCCCTTACAGTTTTTCTCATAATAGTATGCCAACATCTATACAGAGCTAGATTAATGAAGCATTCCTTTGCAATGTACTCACTTTATCACTTTTTTCTATGGTGTTTTATCTACTTTTTAATTTTATGATTGCTATGATCTGTATGAACTTGCTCTTTAGATTTCTGATTTTATTTTAAATACCTAGGGAGATCGAATGGTCCCTCTAATAACTCATTAGTTTGAAGTGTTATTTATCTATACCCATTTTTAGAGTTCTTCAGGAAGCTTTCATACATAGCTTATACAGTTCAGTAATTGCTTCACTATTTGTTTCCTTCAGTATTTTTCCCATTTTGTTATTAGAAGTGTGGTGGCTGAAGTTGCAACCTCAGTTAATGTCCAGGTAAACAACATCAAGGCTTGCATAGCGTTTGGAAAGGGGAATTACAGGAGGTAGGAAACAGATCTTATCGCTTCAAAATAAACACTCTAAACATCCCCCATCCCCGTGGTTTTTTTTTTTGTTCTTTTTTTTTTTAAGTCAGCGTTGGTCCTGTGCCTGGAGTAACAGTGTGTTGTGTTTCAGGGAGTAACAGGAAGTTTATATTGATCCTTCATGCACGTTAGCAAGCGGGGAGTTTAGTAATTACATATTGGAAAAATTCCCATCAGGATGACTCGGTTTTCTCCCCTTGAGGTCCTTCTGAAATATCAAATGGAGACAGGAGTTTTCATTTCCTGACACTCTGAAGTGCAGTTATTGTAGATTTTGAAGTGGAAGATATTAAAAATGGCTGGTGGAAGTGAAAATCTAATTGCTATACTGGCCATCTGGTGATAAGCCGTAAGTGAAAAGAGCACAAGATTGAGGTTAGTGGCCAAACCGCTGATTCTGCATAGTTGGGTCTTCTGAACAATCATGAAATGACTGTATTTTGAAATGTCAGTGATACAAACCTCCTCTGGGCTCTGACTTAGTTATTATTGACTGATAATGTATAGCATATACTGTATGGAAACTTGTTGGATTTTATTCAAATTAATTCCTCTGTTGGAACTTACAATGCTGTGATAGGTGAGCTATGAAGTACTTGTATCTTAGCAAGGACTCCCGTATTAGATTTGAATGAGTTTCTTGATCTCATAAGGAAATACTCTAGATTCCTCCTCAATCTTTAAGCTGTTAGGCTACCTGCTCCTCCAGTTCAGATCTAATTTCCAAACACCTTTTTATCTTTCACTGTTTCACCTTATCTGGTGCTGCTGGGCCACCAGACTACCCTTTTTACACCTGCCTTTTGCTGTTATTCTCTCTCTGTGTTCATCTTTGGTTTCATATCCCTAGAGAACCTTCCAAGAGGAAAATCTTTCTTTCAAAGAGAGAGTACCTAACGGTGGATGGTTATGCTCTCAAATGTGCCTGAATTGCATTGCTTTACAGTGTCTTCCAATTTGTTAAACTCTCTAATAATGAGCTGTAGTTTGCACCAGAGCTGCTTGAGACGATTCGAGAAACAAAAGCCATGAGATAGAATTCCTTATAGCTGAAAGCAGCTAGAAGGATGATTCGAGTTCTGCATGATGCCATCTGGCGGGTCTTGTTTTTTAAAATTATTTTTATTGTCTTCATGCAATGATGGAAAAAGAAAAAGCTACATGATTTGGGAAGTGCCCTAAAATTGACTGTGCAGAGCACCAGGATATCCAGATAATGAAATAGGTGGTTTTGGCCTCAGAATCTTGCTTGCTTGATTGTTCGTTTGTCTTTCTTAAAGGGGCGCTTTGACCTTATGGCGACTTAGGTATCTGTTTTGGAAAATAGCAGCCACTTTCCTTTCTCCTGTTTCACGGTGAGGTGCAGTTGTCCTTAAGGGGAGGCTGAAAGCCTGTAATGAATGTCGTGTTTGTTAGTCCTGATTTTAAATGAACTTTTTATGTATAGTCAACTTCTTCTAACTGCAAAAATTTTCTTCTTTGCTCTTTGAGGACAACATCTATTTCTATTGGTTTTGAGTCTTGTAGAAAGCATAGCAAAGTGAAGAGTCTTCATTTGTTTGACGGAGAGAAAGAGCATTTTAACATTTGAAAAGATCCTTGCAGTTGGTTAATTTTGCAGTCGTTCTGTGTGCATACATAGGAGAAAGGATATCTTGACACTGTGTAAATCGCATTGGTCCCTTTGTCAAAAGCTGAAGATGATAATCTCTGCTTCTTTTTTATAATAGCACTTTTCCTCCCTTACTGAAAACATCAGCTATATTCTAACTCCCAGTGTTGTGTTCCTGATGTTTTCACATCCTGTGTATTATTTCTTTATGACCGTGTTCTGTTACAACTTGACTTATTTACAACTTTACTTGTTTTATCCTTTTGACTCCTCATCCAAATTTATTATAGAAATGACTTTCTAATGTAGAATTAACTACATATTTGGGGAAATGGAAACTTTATGAAAGTAAGGTCCTTCAAATTTATGTACTCTTTACAGACTCAAGCTGTCTGTGTAGCAGTAAGCAGTATATTGTGCCTGTAAATACTATTTCCTCTTTATACTTTTTTGTGTTTGGGGTGGTCAGTCTTTGTACAGATCTTTGTGCATTTATGATAATATGCATATTTTTAGGACCTGAAGCTGACTTTGAATGTACATGCATTGTAAAAAAGACTTGTCAGGTTTTGCTGTTGTGTTTGTAGAACAGGGTGCGGATGTGGTTTAACACTTGTACAGCTGTCCTTGTAGACAGAGGCCTGTTGAAATGATGTTTTGCATAAATTTGATTTTGTTGTGGTACCGTATGGCATTCCCTCAATGAATAAAACAGTATTTTGAATCAATGATTTGCATTAAAACAATCTTGAAATGCAAGGTCAGTCACACAGTCTGCATTTACCATGATTAGACATTAATTTAGCGTTTTACCTAGTACCATGTATAATGTTTGTGGACATAGTCTGTTTTACTACTGTGACAAGCCACCACATCATGGGATCTGGCTTTTGAGCTTACTGAGCTTCACCCTGGAAGCAGGTAGGTTCCTCATGATGCCAGTTTCTGTTGGGAAGCAGTTGTAAATATCTCCTCTTCAGCGGGAAGCTTTCCTCTTAATTCTAGCCGGCATTTATTTAGAGTTAGTTTATATCTATTTATTCTCTTGTCAGTATTATCCTTTAGTTCAAATATCTCCCTTTTATCCTTGGCATTTACCTATGGTGTGTTTACTGAGCACAGTTTTATTCCATCCAGCCGTTGTTTTGTTAGGCTAGGTGAGCTAAGCAATTTTTGTCCCTTCTGATGTTGTAAGCTCGCATTCATCACTCCCATCGAGTGATGCTTCTCTGCACCTGATGTGCTTTCTCTTTTCTTTTATCAATAGCTAGAGAGCAGTGTATTCTGCTGTTGGGTTGCCTGAAGACGTTGCTATTTTCTCTGCCTCTACTGGAAATAAATTTAGGGAGTTTGGTGCCTACAGTGATGGCTTATGGTCAGTCACCATGCAATCTTAATTTACTTTTCTGCCTCTTCAAATAGATTAATCCAACATTTGGAATAAGGATTCCTGTTCACATTCAAAGGCATGTTCTTGGCCATCATATTTAAACCCGTTCCTGTCACTTCAGACCACAGGTTCATTCATTTCTTCCTTTGATAATCTAGTCCTCCTTTCTGTTGACAGACATGCTGAAGATAAAATGCTGAGAAGCAGTCTTTGGTCACTAAGCAAAAATTAGATCACTCCCTGGACCAGTATTCAAAGAATCCAGTACTGAAATATAAGAATGCTGTACAGAGTTAAGCTCAGGTCCGTCAATTGCAATCATCTAATTTCTAATATGCAATATTTCTTACAGGCTTTTTAAATTATTTTGTATACCTTCTGCCTGATGCCTTAGTTGCATATTCTCCAGTCTCTTGTTTTCCCAAGGATATCTGCTGCATTATGAGAAAATGGCCTCAAGTGGCACTAGGGGAGGCTTAGGTTGGATATTAGGAAGAATTTCTTCACCAAAAGGGTTGTCAAACATTGGACCAGGCTGCCCAGGGAAGTAGTGGAGTCCCCATCCCTGGAGGTGTTTAAAAGATGTGTAGACGTGGTGCTTAGGGACATGATTTAGTGGTGGGCTTGGCAGTGCCAGGGTAATGGTTGGACTTGATAGAATCATAGAATCATTTAGGTTAGAAAAGACCTTTAAGATCATTGAGTCCAACCATAAACCAATGTTTGTCTTGAAACAAAAAGGACTATGCCAGACATCTTACTACTGGGAAGGGGGGAAGGTCTCAAAGGTCTTTTCCAACCTAGATGATTCTATGATTTTTTTTTTCCTTTTTTTTTTTTTTTTTAAAAAAAAGAAAATCTGGTGAGAAAGAAAAAGATTAGATTTCTTGACAGTTTAGCTTTTTTCACATTTTCAACTTCCATATCTATTTCCTTCAAAACTTGTTTCACTTCCTAGTTTGTTAATTAACTTTAGAGTTTCGAGTCTGTAGTTGTGTCACCTTTTTCTTAGCATTGTTTGCTAATCTCTGTGCATATCCCACTGCTGTTTTTTGATGGAATTAGTAAAAATCCCTTTTAACGAATTTATAAGCTATTCTGTTTGAGGCTAATCATGTAAAGACTAGCTAGACTTTTATGAAATACGCACTTCTAGGGACCTTGGGTTTGAAAGAGACCTTGTAGTTTTTGTTCTTGAAAGAAATAATTTTACTAGCAGCGCACCCGGGGACTTCATTGTTCCCCCGCCCCCATTTCCCTTTTTAAAAAATGTGCACAACTTTCAATAGTATGTTTTGCAAATAGGCTTGCCTAATCCATGCTGTAAATGTTCTGAATAATACAGGCCAGAAAGTACAGAGAAGGAGTGGCAGGAATTTACAGCTAGATTAGGTCTTCGGTATTTCCTCTCTCAGCAAGATGGTCCTAGATTAAACGCTCATAAATTTTCAATAATTTAACATAATTATAGCTTTACAGGAAGTGTTGAAACCTTCGCTTTCCTACAGAACAATCTCTTTTCTGCATTCTTACATCCATCTGAAGTTTGTTATCCTACTGCAACTCTCTTTTGAAGTCACGTGCCTTCCTAGTTGTGGATAAACATCATGGCATTTTTGTTCGGCATCTTCATATTTGAATTTTTGCCACGTTTTTGACAATTTCATAATGACGTGGCCTTGAACAGTGATATTTATATAATATCTAATAACTTCTCTTGAAAATGGACATAATTGAGAACTGCTTTAGAAAGCAGAAGATTCACTATCCGGACTACATAGCCTTTACTCTACTTTTTGAGGCTGAGTGACGTCTTTGCATGACTTCTGGGAGGACGTGGTAACGGTCAGTGTACCACACAATACTGAGTGTTAGTGAATTTCTTCCAAACCTGGTCTCCACCGAAAGTGAATCACTGCCCATTGCAACAGTGTGGGAATGTGGTAAAAGGCTAATGATTCCCCAAAGAGTTTAAGCAATAAAAAGGCCTTTTATATTGGTGTAAATTTGTATGTCATTGCAGAGCTGTTGTGATTTCAGCTGGGCTTTTTTTACATGGAGGAACTTAATACAGAGCTGACTAGATGAGTAAGATCTCTGGCACATCTCTGTTTTGCTTGTTATAACTTGGTGAAATTCATGGTTGCGCAGGAGATGATGTTAAATCAATAAGGAAGTGATTTAAAGAAGGTCTGATAAAAATCAGATGTGATTTTTATCTGGTCGAGAAGACTATCTCAAACTGAGATTTGAATTTATTTTGTGAGAATTTAAAGAGCTAACTCGTTAAAGTTAACTAGGTACACTTCTGCTTCATGTGTTCTGAAATAACCTTTTTTTCATTTGGGTTTGAATTTTCAGTAAACCTATAAACTATAGACTTTTGTGCTGTAATACTTTGGGGTTGTATGATCATAGTTTGGTACTTTTCACTTGTCTTTGGGATGGATCTTGGGAAGTAGGACTCCTGAAAAACAGGTGCTTGAATTGAGGGAGTGATTCAGACATGGCCCGCTCACTGTCGTCTTTGTTTTAGAAAGTGAAACTCTTTTGAGATTTTCTGCTGAATAAAAAAAACAGAAATGTTTTTTTTTGGCCTCTCCATTGCCTCATACATTGTACTTCTCATTGAGGTTATGTGGAAATTAGAGTTTCAATTTTGTATATATTTGACTGATGGCGTGTGAAAGTGTGCAATTTAATTTATGTAAGCAATATTCTGCCTTTTTTAATAGATTTGCTCTTTTTCCCAAATTGCGTGTCATTTTATTCCCATTACATAATCTTTATTCTCAAAATCATGATTTGTGGTTAGGCTAAAAAGCTGAATCTGCATCCCTTCTGCTGAGAAACGTACCGTTTCCTTATGCTTCACTTAAACTTCTCAATATTTCATTGTTCTTTTTCATAGGCCAACAGTTTGGAAAAAAAAACATCTAAATCAGACTGGGAGAGTAGTCTGAAAGAAAAAAAAAAAAGAAAGGTTCCTTTGTCTTCCCCAGTGCTGGAAGGGCCGTCGTGCCCCCTGGTATGAGAGCGGAGCTCTTGGCTTGGTCTTGCTTTCTCTGCAACACGTGTCATTTGCATTGCATCCCAGCTTCAGCAAGAGGGATGGAGGGCAGTGCTGTCTTGCTGAAGTTCAGGCTCTTGATAAGCTTTGAGAGTTGCCATCATGCTGTTCAGTACTGAATTCTGACTTTTTGCTATTCCTTGTCGTGCTTTCTTACAGTCTTTAGTCTTACACTGTGATCTGTGATGTGGCAACCGATCTGGCTTGTTCTGTCTGTGCGCTGTGACTAGCACACTAATAGTAGAGATTGAACTGGTTTCATTTGGGAACGAGTCACTGGGTGACCTTAAAGTATCTGAAGGGAGTATGGAGGAGAGTTCCAAGAATGGATTTAAGAAAAGAAAAAAACCAAACAAGTAGCTCTTTTAAAATACCAAACTTGAGCTATTTGGGGTTTATATCTCCTTAAGGAATTGGGTTTTAATTCACGAGCTGTGCAATCAAGGTAACCATACTTTTCTGTGTCCTGCCAAGAAAATAAGCACCATCTAAGTCAAACTTTTTAGTTAAATTAGTATTTTATTACTATCCATAGATGTGAAAAAAGACAAAAGAGTTAGTGTTCTTAGTCTTCAAGTAGTTAACTGTGTTGTACCAAAGTTTAACTTTGTATTATGTATGAAAGCAGAAGACAAGTTCTGAAAAGCTGTAGCTTTCTGAATGAAAACTGTTGAACCTGTCTTTAATGAGTGAATGCAATTTTACTTCTCTAAAGTGCATAGTACCCGATTCTAAATCTCTGCTTTTGGTTTCTGCCCTACAGGGAACACAGTGAGTAACCTGATTTTCATTCTACCTCCAATCTATGGTGCGATTCAGACCTATAAAGATGGCCTTGAAAAACGGTATTTAGCTGCATATTTGTGTCTTACAGGTATGTGTAAAACTTAATTTGCTCTTTCATTATAAAGAGAGCTCAGATTTGCAATGAACAACATCCAAATATTAATAAACCAAGTAGTTGAATCCAAATACTATGCGTGTGAAATGTAAACTTTAACAAGTATAACAAATTGAGGTTTACAGAAAGTTGATATTTGTTGGAAGGACCTGAAGTTACAATTCACTAAATCACTTTAAAACCTCATAAAGCTATCCTTTTCTGGCTTTAAGTCCTACTCAGTGCATCTTAGCTTACTGTGTCCCTTTATCATGATTTACAGATGTCTTGTGTGTCCTACTTTTAAACAGTTTCTCACTATATTAATATATTTGTGACTTTTGTATGGAACAGTAATACAAGAAATGGCCAAGAGCTTGAAGTCCTGGTAAAGCATTCTTTCATGAGTTTGAATTTGATTTCAGTTCCTCTTTGGCACATACCACCCCACAACCTAACTGCCATCATATCTGGGAAGCTTTGCAAGGATGGAAGAACAATGTGACATTCGTGCATAGGTGAACTTAAGGGCAGTCTACTTTTTCTAAAATAGCAAAATCCGGAAAAGAACCAACTTCCTTTTAAAGAGTTAATTATGCAACTAGAAGTCATGTTCCTTATGAGAAAAGAAGATGTTTGAAGATGGTTAAGATTTGGCAGATGGACCTCAAAGTAAATTTCACAGAATTTCTGTGTTTCGCAGGATTTCTGTGTTTGCTATAGCTCCTATCTCTGTGGAAGCTATCTTTCCCAGTCTTCTCAGTGGTAAGAGATTGGTTTATTCTAAATCTTACTTCTAAGATTGGCATACTTGTGTATTTAGGCAAGTGTTGACGAAAACCACATATCCATGTGCTAAAGGTATTCTTGGTGCCGATTAAGCTGTGACATAAAACTTCATGGTTTTTCAGTTACATTGGCTTTGCTGATCCATGTGATAGATAAGCAGCAACAATGTACAACTTTGGATGTTGTCTGAACACCTTCCAAATAGGCATTCGTAGGCTTTTAATGGGTTTGAGTAGCTATTAATTTTTTTCTCAGTATAAACTAGTTTGGCAGAAGGAATTCTTGAAGATCAGGGATTCCTTTTAAAAAGACAGGGGAAGAAACAGTGTGTAAACATTTGCAGAAGTTGACTCATTGCATGTTCTTGAATCAAAGTATCGTCTACTGCCATTCTTCCTAAACTTAAAAAAAAAAAAAAAAAAGGAAAAAAAAAGGATAATTAGAATTCAGAAACCTCCATTTCTTCAAAAAATAAAAAAAAAAAAAAAAAAGGGGGGGGGAGTTAAAACTCTGTGTTTGAGACTTAGTCTTCACCGTAACTTGTGGCTACCTCTGTCAGTGACACTTCATGATGGACAAAGTGTGCCGTTATCTGACCAGAATGTCAGGCTGTCACACCAAGACTGCCCCAAATCTCTCATACTGTTTAATGTTTAAAATGTTTAATAAAAAAAAAAATAATCTGTCATCACAATAAGTATCATGGACTTCAGTTTTACACTGTTCCTGGTCTTCATGACAGGGAGCTCAGCCTGTGTATTTGACAGTGGTGCTGGAGGGCAGTCCTGAGTTCCAGCTGGGCTCCACTCATCTCTGACTGGGATGCCTTTGGCTCCTGTCTGAAGTGATAAATGCTTGCATGGCTTGATTTTTATCTCATATGTTGGAACCTAACATAAAAGGTCACTCCCAAACACGTTTCTCTTCTGTTTTGTCTCTGCTTCAGTATTCGTAATGCTGGACTGTTTTACAGCACTTGAAAGATGCAAAGGAATATAGAAGGCTTTATAGCTTTTCAGTGAAAAACAGGAACAGGATGGTTTGGAGTCACAAACCTCTTAACATTTGTTCTACTATGGAGTAAAAACAGCAAATGAGAAGATAAACAGAATTTTAAATATAGTTAAATGTGCCAGGAACACTGGCATTTTTTCTGTGCATGTGACTGAATGAGAAGCGTACTGAAGTGGAGACAGAGTAAGCGTACAGAAATTTCTTTTTGTAAGAAAGTACCAGAGAGAATTCTTTCCCTTACAGTAATTTTATTTATTAACAGATTTCACTCTGCTTGCTTAATTTGTAACAAACAAGTATAGGCTTAATCTGTACAGGGATGATGAATTTAACACAGACTTCTAATTTCACTTCAGGCACCATGCTTCATTAAAGACCATATAGCAGAGCTTCTCAACTAGCTAGTAGTGTCTAAGGGTTGTTTGGTTAAAGTAGAGATTCTTTAACAATTCTGCTATGAAGGTGAGGGTGAAAGGGAGGTCACTTTAGTTAGGTCTTAACAACTTTGAACCATTACTGAGATTTTACAAGATGTTAAAAGGCAGCTGTCAAAGCAGACATTAAAATTAAATCCGTTAACATTTGCAAACGTAAGAAGTGTTGTATCTAGACATTATTTTGATCTAAATCAGCTGTTTCTTTTGGATGCTTCCAGACTTTTAGCTGATTGTCAGTTCCTTTGTGTTTTACCACGCTGTGTTCAGTACTTCACTTTATACCGCATAGTTTCTTTCGTTGACATTTATTTCCTCTTTGAACAAAATGCATTTTCAGTTAGGGAAGCACTGCTTGTTTCACATACATGCTAAGATCCAAAGTTGGCAGGACAAGAAGGGGGATTTCTAAATAACTGCTCAAATAAATTTCTTGTTCATACTGATGCTGAGGCTGAGTTGCACTTTTCAGCAAGTTCTTTGAGATACAGCATACTGTTCTCAACCCTTATTTCTGCTGCCTTTCAGCTCAAAGGACGTGTTGTCAATGAACTCAATAGGAACTGGATACGATTTTTAAGCTTTAGAGAACTATTTAATCAACCTATAAATTATGAAGAATAATCTTAAGCAATTACTTTAGCATGTTGCACCTAATGAAGTAGGTGGAACAAATCATCAGGCTGTCACTACCTTGAAGAATAAGCAGTTGTTTTTGGACGATTCCTTATGACACTGTGGTATTTTATCAAGTTCTACCATATCTCATTTCCTCATACATCCTGGGAAACCATGGTTCCCAAATGGTTCATATTCTAGAAGGGTCTCGATTTTAAAAAAAAAAAAAAAAAAAAGTAACTGTTTTGGACCTAAGAAGATAAGAAAAAACAGTCAATGGAGTTATAGACTTTATTAGATGCTTTACTTGAAATTTGGAAGGTTTGTTCTGTTTTGTATTTCTTTGGCCTGTTCACTAGGACTCAGTCATTCAAGCTATGCCAAAGTAGAGGAAAAAAAAAGGATGCGAAAAGTTTCTACGTTAGGCATAGCCATAGAACTCATAAACAACTTACTAAACTTTGTTTCCAGTGAAACTCTGTATTTGTGAAAATAGTTGTTAGTCAAAGTTAATTCCCTTATTCTTACCTAACAGCCGTAGGGAAGGTGCTTAGGCCATGTCGACGTTAGTAAATCAAATGTGTCCGGGAACATTCCTGAGTGCTGAAGCCAAGTAGTGTGGAACAGCCCGTGTCTGTTCATCTTAGCCTCCAAAATAAGGTGACTGCATACAAATTCCCTGCTGGGCATGGGCCCTGGACTCTTCTGACTGCTGGGCTGTGCCTGGGAGCTACTCGGGGAAAGTGCTAGTTGGAACAGGTCAGATTCACGCTGCAGACTGTTCTAACAATTCATTAGCACAGACAGTTGCATTATAGTGTCTGGGAACGGTCCCAGCCATGCTTGAGTTTACTTGTAGAGCTGTACCCTTGGAGTAACCAAGGTCTCTCCTGTCTCTTACGCTGTGGAGGGAAACCATTACAAAACAAAATGATTCAATAAAAATTGTTCATTTAATTCTAGTTTTTCATCTTGTTTCATTCTTTAACTGTTTATGTTGCAGTATGTTGTTGTTTATCTTCAGTTCTATCATTGTAAGAAACTATAGGTGGAATTCAGCTCCAGATTTAAATACCTAAATGTGTGTGTCTACCTGTGCAGAGGAGTCTGTCTCCCATTGCAGTCAGCAAAGCCTAGAGAATCGTTTGGCTCATCCTAAAATATCCCCTTCTATTTGGCCAGCTGAATTACTCTTTATAATGTCATTCTCTTTAGTGGAAGCGTTGACACCTAGTTCATGTGTAGATACCTAAATAGAGATGTTTGCATCTGGAGCATCCATCCTTCCGAATGTTTTCATACAGTGCCTGTACAGTTTAAATTCAAACTGCATCAATGAAATCCTAATAAACTGCTCTTTCTATAAAGGCTTTAGGCTTATAAGAATATTGAATGCTGATGTATAGTCTTATATTGAAATGAATTATCACTGATTATGTGATACTTCTGATTATTCCTAAAACTACTGAAAAAACTCATAGGGAATATTTGTGTTCCTCTCGTGCTCAAATCCTGAGAGTTAATAGGGTTCATATATGGAGCTGGATCTCCTATGTAATGTCAGATTACTTCTAGCATGGATATTGTCTTGAAGTCTTTGGTGGTGTTGAAGCACAGTGAAATAATTGTGTAAGAAGTAAAGTTTGCAGATGCGTACATCATCACTAACGCAACTATTTTATCAACTGGTAGTAAACAGGCATTGTGTTTGCTGCAGGACAAAACCGACCATGTTAGTCTGCATATAGCAGCTAACCTGACTTTGTATTTCCAATCTTTTTAAGTGCTATTCTGTTCTCGTAATATTGTGACTTTGTGTGTATTCTGTGCTGAATACATAATTTCTGTATATCCCCTGTAACTCGAGAGGTTCGCAGGTGTAAAAATCCTGAGTGACTTGTAGTATCTATGAAAAGTGAATTACAGTTGTTAGAGAGGAAATGGTATTGCTTCAGATGGTGTTAAAACTTCCCAACCCATATGCAGCTTTTAGTGAGTTAAGCTCCTTTGCAGAAGGAAACACCTAAAATGAAAACTGGAACCCCTGCTTACCAGATAAGGAGCGAATCTATTGCTCGGTTTGGCAATGGCTGTGTGGAAAAGTTGCTTCTATTGAAAACTGGTGCAATTGCAGCAATCATGTTCACTCATATTTTGAAAAGTACAAAGCTGGTAGAACATCTCATTGCAGTGATGGTTTTTGTGAAGTAAATATTCCTTAGAAACGTTTTGATCCTGAAGTTATGTGATGAGAATATCTCTAAAGATTGCTGCATTCTTGTAGAACTGCAGGTAGAAGCTGCATGTGAAGACATTTGAGCTTAAGTATTAAACCAGTATTTACTGGAGACAAATAGGTGTCAAGCCCCTTGTAAGTTTACAAGTTAAAGTGTGACAAAAAGGTAGCGTGCTCTGGGCATAGCAGAGGAAATAAAGATTTCCTTGCGATCCTTGGCATCTGATAGATGTTTCCTCTTTTTACTTTGCAGTATTTTCAGCACCAAACACTAACCCTGCATTAAGCCATGAGGCGGCAACTCTGACTAGCGTAGCTCTTGCCCCGGTGGGTGCAGTATTAGATATTAGCTCCCTTCTGCTGAACTTACGTAGTTATAGTGATGTTAGTGAAGCAGAGTATGATGTATGCTTCAGCTGCTACAGGTCAGTTCATCATCTCTTAATGTAGTTTCTTCCTTCCTCCTTTTTTGAACAGATTCCTGAAACTTTTTGCACAATTCTGTGTTAAGATACAATGTATGCCAAAGGTAGCAAATGAGAAACTTGGTTCTTAGCTCATTCGATGTCTAGATGTAAAACATTTTTATGTCTCTGCAATGTAAAACATGCCTTTTTAAGTTATGCCTCTGCAATAAGCAGGTATAAATGGGATACATAAAGAATCATGTTTCATTCTTTAGTCTTCGTTTAAACCATCTCTTCAAAAAGATGCTATTGTGCATAGTTACCACAATAGTGTTTGAGGAAATGTTGTCTGTGCCATCTTGAGAGGGAGAGTGTCATCTGATGAATAATCTAGTCGTATAATTTCTCGTCATGTAAAAATCCTGGGTTATCTGCTGAATGCACTTAAATACCAAGCAGACTTGATGGTGTTCATGAGCTCTGTCAAGATTGCAGCAAGCAGTATTACAGCCATTTCCAGTAGAGTTTTTTATTTTAGGAAGGACCATATGATAAGTCCCTGTAAACATTTCTTGTTTCAGTTAACTATTTTATTGCTACACAATATAGCTAAAGCATTGTTCTCCAATGTGTAGTAAAATTTCATAATCAAGGAAACTCCAAGTGTGATCATTACACAGAGGCAAGTGGGCTTTTAATTATTTTTAGAAATTAATTGTACTTGTGGGATTAATGACCTGAAACACTAATATCAGCAGCATTCTTGATTTTTGCAAAGACTGGAAAGGAAATTTAATCTAGAAATAACTGCTTCTAATCATATAGGAGGAAGGGGAGGAGTTCAGTAACTGATTGTTGAGATTTATCAACCCAAATAACATTAACACCCCACCCCCCAAAAAAAACCCCACTAAACAACAACAACGATTTTGTTAGTTTAAAATCCGTTTAAATTTCTTACACAATTATTTTGCCCATATTTGAAAATTACACTTGTTACAAATCATAAGAGTTTGTATCATGAAGATACTGAAATCACTGTGACAACCAGGATAATGGATGGCACTGTTTTAATGATATTCTTAATGTTTTTCTTCTTCAGAATGAACAGTAGTTGTAATATATTCTGTATACATAGAAAAATGGCTATGAGAATTTCCTATTAAAATCTCAATGAAGGTGAAAAACGGTTGTTGCTTGTTGTTTGGAAAGATTTTTCAGAAGCAAACCAGTTTAATCGGAACTTACAGAAGTGCATATGTTTGTTTATGTTCTGGTAGACAGCCATGCTTAATTTTCCCAGAGAATTAATGACATTACAGTATTGGGCAATACATTTTTAAATGTAGCTGTATTACAGTTTTATAGTTCAATAAAGTTACATGCTTAGGTATTTCATTTTGTTGAGTATGTGTAATAATCACAATTCTAGTCTAATACCATCTAAAGAAACATCTCCAGACATGTCTTATCAACTGTCTTAGGAGTCCTTTACAAAATGCACAGTTTGTTGGAGATCTGTTCATGCATCAGTGAAATCTAACTGTTGTGTGTAGAAAAGGTTATGCTCTTGCAGCCAAGCACAGCAGCACTCCCCAGTGACCAAGGCCTGACTGCAAATTACTTAGCTTTCTCTGAAACTAGAGTCTGAGGTAAAACATAATTCCTTGAAGGAAGACAAGACATCGCATTAACGTACTTGTTCTTGCAAAATAAAAATGAGCTGGTGCTTAATGAGAGTGTTTAACTGATAACATTTCAAAGTAATGAATGATACATTAAATACTCTACCAGCCTAGCTCTGAACGGTGAAATCTAACTTCCAAGAAACATTGCCCTTGTCTAACTGAAAAAGCTGCAAAGTATGTGTCTCATGAATTAATTTCAGAAGTAAAATTCAGAGTTTTAAAAATAAAGTATTTCAAATAAATAAAAATCATTATGTAGGATGAGCTTCCAAGAAGAAGGCTTGGAAATGGTGATCTTGTTTCACAAAATAAATCCATCCTATGTGAGTTTTGTTCGTTTACCCTGAATTTCAAGTTTTGAGTTCTAGTAGCAATTCATTTCTGCTTCTAGAGCTGACAAAAAGCTCCTTGTAAAATTTACCTCTTAAAACTGGACAATAAGCAGAAATATCACAGACTTCCAGGAGTACTAGCAGTTGAATGATGCTTTGTTTGCTTTGTAGAAGGATTGAGACAGATAAATCTTAATGTACTTAAAATAAAAAAAGAAAAGAGAAATAGAATGATAATGTTCCATTCATTCTGGGTTCCCTCCCCTCCTATCTTCATTGAGATTACCACAATTCATAGGAGACAGTATTGAGAGGAGGGAAAGAAGACACACACCCCACAAAAAACATAAATTCAAGAACATCACTGGTGACTAATCTGTAAAGTAGAGGACTGTGGAAAATTTGGGGGTTTATCCCTGAAGTGAGATGCAGATGTTTTGTTTTTTTTTTTCCCCAGTTAAGTTCGTGCCTTTAAGTCAATGTACCTGGAAGTTTTCTGTGTAGACTTTTATATTAACCATAGTTTTGATTTGTTTTCAGCTGTAGGATTGGGATCTTGGTGCTTCCACATGACCCTGAAGTACGAAATGCAGGTAAGTATTGATAAGTAGCTGTGAATCATTTTATGTATCTCACTATATAGTCATATTACCATTTCTAGACTCAATGAAACTCATATAAGATGAGTTAATCTATCTTAAGTATCATTGTACATGACTCCTGCTCTCAACAAAAGACTAGCGCAGGTCTTGTTTTTGTCAGATATTTTCCCCTGTTAGATATACAGGAATATATACTTGCATCTAAAATAAGAGCTATAATCAGTTGTTTATGTTGGTAGAAGACACTTTATCCTTTGGGAAATCATACTATCTGTTTACTTGAGTTGTTATTTTAACATTCCTACAACTTTGGCTTAATAGCAAGCAGTATAGACTAGAGTTACTGTTATTTGTTGTATCCTTTTTTTCATCTTAATGTTTTCTATTATGTTTTCTATTTATCTTGATGTATCTGTAGCATTAATACTGAAGTCGGTATCTTCTGAGTAGCAATAGTTGAGTCTTTCTCTTTCTCTTCTTCTCAATTAGAAGACATTCTGTAATAAATCGCTGGGCATAAGGATTTCGTCCTGGTATTTCCCATTTTCTAAAGGGACACAAGGACTCTTGTTCTGTTGTCCTGTTTTAGATCTAAGAAGATTAAGGAAATTAATCTTTGAATCAAAGTCAGGGTGAAGTGGGATTCAGTTCAAAATTAAAAAAACGTACATTTAAAAGTGTGTGCTGGAAGTCTGTGCTCCCACTGTAGTCCATGGAACTACAGTGAAGTCAGCGGAGTTTAGAGAGCCAGTCAGCTGGGCTGAATCGTTCTCCAGACTGCATTGACAATCTTAACTTGAATACTCACTTGTCTGAATAGAATCATAGAATCATTGTGGTTGGAAGAGACCTCAAAGATCATCAAGTCCAACCGTCTACCCAACGCCACCATGCCCAGTAAAGCCACTAAACCATGTCTCGAAGCGCCACATCTAAACGTTTTTTGAACGCTTCCAGGGATGGTGAGTCCACCACCTCCCTGGGGAGCCTGTTCCAGTGCCTAACGACTCTCCTAAGGCAGATCTTCTTCAGAACATACA